AGGCACGCGACCATGGCATAGGCGGCACACATAGCACCTGTCCGGACGGGTTCAGGGCGGCCGCGTGCGCAGGGGCGGGCGCGTTCAGGGGTTGACGCGTTTTAGCCGGCCCGACCCGACCTCGGGTCGACCCGACCCGAGACCGGGTCAGGCCTGACCCAGCCCTAAACACCCGGGCCAGGTCAGGGTCCTCAACACCTTGGCCCAGTTCTGGCCCAACCCGACCCGACCCGGAAACCAGCCTGGCCCGGCCAAGTCGGGTCAGGTCGGGCGGGTCGGGCCGCCTGATCATGCCTACTTCACGGCACTGAATCTACAAAACCCAATTAGCACACAACCAATTTCAATCTGGCCAGAAGAAACAGGTCGTTCAAATCTACTCGAACTCTTCAATTTCCGCTATTTTTTTACAGCTGATGAAGGACCCCTACGATAAATAGCCCGCAGAATTTACCCACAAACACCCTCCTTAACTATAGCCACCTTGATACTGTTGCATTTACAATGTGTTTATGCTGCACAATTGGACCCACCCACAACAGGGACATGGCTGGCCATAAACTCAGTGGGGAGCTTCCGTACACCATTTTCAGCCTCACGCGGCTTTCATCTCTGTGAGTCACGTCACTTTCATCCTCACAACCCCATGCAGCTTCCATGTTTTGGGACGCCTCAAAGTGAAGCGCTGTTCATCCCTATCAATCATGTCACTTACACCTGGCCATGAGCACCAGGGAGACATGAGCATTTGGTCGAGTTTCTTAAAGCTGCGGTCTACATTCAAAACAGTGTTTTTTGGGGGTATTTTTTATGCCCACCCTTTCGTGCGGCCTGATTGGAGAACGAAGTCAGCATGTTTCAGAAACACTTCAGCGACGAACTCAGACAGGAAACGCGAATCCAGCCCCATTTCGTGCTGACGCGTGGTTTCGGGGAAGGGGTCGGCGGAAGGGCGGAAACAACCTGGGGAGTTCGGTTTCGGGCGGAAAGAACACCAACCCCCTCTCTCCACCCCCCTAAACCGTTAGCTTTGCAGGAAAGGGGGCCGAGTCCAAAAACTGGTCACCCTGTTTTCAAGTGATAAACTCAAGCCTCCCGGTCGAAGTATGTAGACCGCAGCTTTAACTCGACTTGTTCGCTGTAGTCGTCCCGGGACGAGTGTCGAGTTCGAGTTTCGCGTGGAGAAACTCTGGCCTCGGCCGAGCCGAGTCGAGTTTTACTCGCCGAGTTTTTTATATCTCGGTGAAAACTCGTGCTCCATGTTCGAGTTTTTCCGGAACTCGCAATTTTTTACAGACTCGCGCGAGTATTATAGGACTCGACAAGTCAGATCCATGCTCTGTTGTCTTGTATTACCGTAAGAAACATGTAGCTGTAGATGGCATACATTAATATACGGCTTACAGCCCATAAATAGCTACTTAGTCTGTCTCGAGCCCAAGCTCTGTTGCCGAGTGTATTAATAAAACTCGACGAGTTTCTAAAAAGCTTGCCCATTATAGACGAGCGTCGAATCCGCCTCCTAGCCAAAAAAATCTCGACCGAGTTTTACTCGATTTGTCAAATGCACATGTCTAGCCAGGTTGACCCGTCCCTCCCGCCTCATGGTTTTGGCCAGGCCGGGTCGTATCACTCCTCTAATTGGCGGGCAGGCGCAACAGGGCCCGAACCACTTTAAGCCTGGTCAGGTTGGTCAAATCATCAGGCCACCCAGGTTGGGTTGGGTCGGCGACCCGATGCTCGGGGTTACTTTCACCCCCTCACACTAGGGATGAGCAAGGGGCGAACACGAACATGTTCGTGTTCGCCCCTAGACGAACACATCCGTTTGCCGAACCGAACACTGTTCGGTTCGGCGAACACTTTAAGCAAAAACACGTGTTCGCCGTTCGCATATGAAGGCATGTTCGGGCGAACCTCGAACACGTTCGTGTTCGTCGCGGGGCAAATTGCAGCAGCGGCCCGAACACGAACGTGTTCGGGCGAACATCGAACACTGTTCGGCGAACAATTTAAGCAAAAAAAACAAACCTGTTCGGTTCGCCTCGAACGTGTTCGAGGCGAACCGAACAGGTGTTCGCCCTTGTGCTCATGTCTACCTCACACTCACAATAATCGCCAACACTAGAATGGTTAGAATCCTGTCAGTCACTCGCATAATCAACTGAATCTAGACACGTCCATGTAGACATGAGCTGGGGGGCGAACGCATGTTCGGTTCGCCCGAACATGCGTATTTTTTTTGCCTTAAAGGGCAAGGCTAGAATTACCGAGTTGGGTGGCAAAGCGTCACCACTTTCATGCGATTGGTCCAGATTTCACTTGGTTTTCGACTGGATTGGTTTTCAATTTTCCAACCGAACCTCCTTCTGGGGTTTTCCAAACCTACAATTTCCCGTTGACTTCGTGTGTAATTCAGGTCTTGGGTTTTAAATGTTCGCCTGAACATGTTCGGGTTCGGCCCGAACATGTTCGGGCGTTCGCGGTGCGCAAGGGAGAAATTCCCGAACATCGAACATGTTTGGGAGTTTCTCCCGATTCCGCTAACATCAAATATTCACGGAATAATCGGCGCGACAAATGTCGCGCTGGTTGGATTAAAAACATACGGAACCAACAGATCGAGCTCATTGAAAGCTCGAGCTACCTTTCTGTCGCACTAAAGCGCCCATGTTAACTGTTAGTTAGGCACACATGTCCTTCTAAGGCCGTTTTTTAGGGTAAGACTAGCCTATACGCCTCCTATGGTATTTGAAGAAAATGGATCGGTGAACTTATGGCACGATAGGAAGAAGAAATATCCTTAGCAAGAAAATGGTATAAGTCTTAAAGACTAGAGCAAGGTCTTTGTCCAAGGATGATTTCTAGTGAAGTGGGAAGCCACATATATGTGGTTGAACTCTTGAGGCTAGCTGCAGCACCTCAATGCTGAGGGCAAGGCTAGCCAACCTTGCCAAGCTAGCAAGTGAGGCCACATGTTGCACATGTGGGCCAGGCTGGAACAACAACCCACATAACAGCATATGGCACACCATAGAGGCCAGCAAGGTGAGTGTGGGATGAGTGGACAGGTGGCAATGCCAACTGTGACCACACTTCACTGTGGTGGACTGTGGTGGAGTGTGGACATGTAATATGGAGCATAAGGAGAATGGAAAGTGCAGCTGCCGAGAATTGAACCCACGACCTCTAAGACTGAAGGTGAGAATCCACCCTCTGGGACATACTTGCTGCACAACACCCCCCCTCAAGGATGTCCCCGGGGTAGGGTCCTTCAAGCGGAGACATGGGTGAGACCGAGAAGACCACGGATGCGAAGAAAAGGGTCACGGGGCAAAGGCTTGGTGCCAATGTCAGCGAGGTTGTCTTGAGTAGGAACATAGAGAAGGGTAACGGAGTGGTCAGCAACATGATCACGAATGAAATGGTGCTTGATGTCGATGTGCTTGGCCTTGGGATGAAAGACGCCGTCGTCCTTGGCCAGAATGATGGCACTATTGTTGTCACACGAGATGCGGGTGGAGCCGGTTGGGGGAAGTCCAAGTGCGGTAAGGAGGGATCGAAGCCATAATGCCTCATGCACCGCGGCGCCCAGAGAAGAATATTCAGCTTCACAGGAAGAGGTAGCGACGACAGCTTGACGTTTGGACTGCCAAGAGATGAGTGACGGACCGAGGAAGAACAAGTAGCACGTAACGGAGCGTCGGAGCTCTCCCTCCGGTCCCCAAGAGGCGTCACACCACCCATGAAGTTCAAGGGCGTTGGGAATGCCGCCAAGGAGAAGCCCAAGCGAGGTAGTCCCTTTCAAGTAGCGAGCAACGCATTTGGCAGCCGAGACGTGTGGAGTAGACCAATCATGAAGGTGACGAGCAAGAACTCCAGCGCTATATGCGAGGTCGGGACGGGAACCCACCATGGCATACATGATGGATCCGACAAACGAGGTGTAAGGAAAGGAGGAGGAGTGTGGGGAGGAAGTCACGGGCAGCTGAAACTTGGTGTCCATGGGGGTGGCAGCAGGGTTAAGTGGAGTGAACGAGTAGGTGTCTAAGATGGAGGTGATGAATTTGGATTGATGAAGGTGGAGAGTGCGGGAGGTACGATCACGAGTGATGTGAAAGCCAAGGTAGTAGGAAAGAGGACCGAGGTCACGAAGCTTGAAGCGAGATGAAAGGGCACGCTTGAAGGAGGAAAGAAGAGAAGAGGAGGAGGAAAGAATGATGAGGTCGTCAACATAGACGAGAAGCATGAAGAAGGATGCAGCTGTAGACCGATAAGGAGATTGAGGAGGAGCAATGAAGAGGCCGGGGTCCGCACGGGCAGCAAAAAGGCGAAAGGCAGCAAGCTCTTCACGAAGTTTGCGGTACCAGCACCGCGGCGCTTGCTTCAACCCGTACAACGGTTTGTGCAAGAGACAAACTTGCTCAACACCATGGACCGCCGGAAGTTCATAACCGGGAGGCTGCATCATGTAGAGAATTTCATCAAGAGTGCCGTTGAGGAAGGCGTTGGAAATGTCCAGCTGATGGACTTCTAGGTCGAAAGCGGCAGCAATGGTGAGGAAGAGGCGGAGGGTGGCGAAGCGGACGGTAGGAGCAAAGGTGTCATGGAAATCAACACCGTCGCGTTGTTTGAAACCTTTGACAACAAGGCGGGCCTTGCGACATTCGATAGAACCTTCAGCATGCTCCTTGACCTTGAAAATCCATTTGCATGGAATCGGCTTGCACTTGGGTGGTCGAGGAACAACGCTGTAAGTGTCATTAGCGTGCAGGGCAGCGAGTTCCGCATCAGCAGCCTTGATCCATTCAGCAGCATCAGGGCCAGTGCGGGCCTCATGAATGGTTTGAGGTTCGTAATGATGATGAAGGGCGGCATTAGCGGATGTCTTGGAAAGAGGAGGAAGGGTGAAGTCAATGGGTTCAGAAGGAGACGGTAAGACCTTGAGCTGTGAGAAAAGTGAAAGAGTGGAAGGAGCTGAAGGGGATGGTGGTGAGGAACTAGAGGTGCAAGGAGGAGGACGAGCTGAAGGAGAGGAGAGGGATGGAAGGCGGAAGTCTTGCGGCGTCGAGGGCAGAGGAAGGTTGGAAAACAAAGGAGGAGGAGAAGAGGTGGCTGGTGTGGGCAGAGTTGGAGATGGTGGGAGGAGGGTGGTGGAAGAGGGCATGGGTGGTGAAGGAGAGGGAGGGGAGGTTGGGGCTGAGAGGGAAGGGGGTGGGGGAGGAGGCGGAGATGATGATATGGGTGGTGGAGATGACGATGGAGGTTCTCGAGGGTCATCGGAAGGTGGCGAAGAGTGCTCCATGAAGATGACATCACGAGAAAGTGTGACACGGTGCTGAGATGGGATATAGATGCGATAAGCCTTGGTGCCGTCAAGATGACCATACCCAACCATGATGCCGGCCGTGCTTCGGTCGTCGAGCTTAGAGCGCCGTTGCGGAGGAATGAGGACTGAAACGGGTGAACCGAAGATGCGGAGGTGTGATACGTCCGGACGTGCACCGGTCCATAGTTCTATGGGAGTCTTAGAAGTTGAACCACCCCGACTAATGGCATGATTTCGGAGATAGGCAGCAGTGAGAGCGGCTTCACCCCACCATCCTTTGTCCATGTGTGCGTCATGAAGCATGGAACGGACCATCTCAAGTATAGTCCGATTGGCGCGTTCAGCAACTCCATTTTGCTCGGGTGTGTACGGCGTAGAACGGTGTCGAGCGATGCCATGAGCTTTAAGGAATGAAGTGAAGGCGTCGGAATTGAACTCCAAGGCACCATCGGAGCGAAACGCTTTGATGGTCCTTGGGGAATGCATATTGTGCACCCGAGTGACGTAATCTTTGAAGCATGAAAATGCCTTTGAACGATGGCGTAGGAGATACACGGTAATGTGGCGGGAATAGTCGTCGATGAAGGTGAGAAGGTAGCAAGCGCCTCCAATGGTAGTTCCATATGAAAATGGTCCAGCAATATCCGAATGAATGAGTTGGAGCGGTGCTGTGGTGCGAGAATGGGATACGCCAAATGGTTGACGCGTTTGTTTCCCACGATAGCACGAGATGCATTGGGGAATCGAGGAGGAGGAGAGGTTAAGACCGGTGACCAGCTGCTGCCTATGAAGTGGTGACAGGTCCCGCATGTTAAGATGCCCGAAACGACGATGCCAAAGGTATGAGGAGGTGGTGGTGGAGACTGGACATGCCGTGGGGTTGATGGGGGGGGCGGCACTGCTCCCATGATGCAGCTGAAGATAAAACAGATTGTTGCGGGTAAAGCCCTCGCCGATATGAGCCGCATCAGTGTTGAGCTCAACCCGCCCTGCAGTGGGGAAGGAAACGGCAATGCCGGCAGCTCCAAGTGCACGAACTGAGAGGAGGTTGTGAACCGATGAAGGGAGAAACAGAACGTTGTCTAGCTGGATGGTGGTCTCCGAGGTTTGTGAGCGAAGAGTAGCCACCACCTTGCCGACTCCCAAGACTTTGTAAGTTTCTCCACCACCAAAACGAACGATAATATCATCAGTTGGCTGCTGGAGAGATGAAAACAACGAGCGATCGGAGCATATATGGGAAGATGCGCCGCTGTCCACCAGCCAGGAAGAAGTCCGGATCATGTTTGAGGAAGAGGCTGTGAGTGCCGATGCGTAGGGAGCACCATAAGGGAAGAGGAGGAGGAGGAGGAGGATGGTGAAGATGAAGACAGCAGCGACGAGATGGGGCGGATGGGGCAGGTGGCTGGTGCTGAAAGCTATGTCAACGTACCGGGAATCAGGTACGGACTGAGGGGCTGATGGGGCAGTAGGTGTTGTGGAGATCGAAGGGATGTCGGCGGAGGAGCTTGTTGACACATGCACCGAAGGCTGGATGACAGATTTCTCCCGTCGAGAGCTTTCTTCGAGCTCTTTCTTCTTCTTCAACTTGAAGCATTCGTCAATGGTGTGGCCGGTTTTCTTGCAGTAGCGGCAAGTAGGGGACTGGCGGGAACCGGAGCGAATAGGGTGGGAGGGCTGGGAATGGAGGTTGTATGCACCTTCCATGTTGCGGCTTGTACCAGATTGTGACCGCTCCCAATCGGCATCGAGTAGTCGTGACTGCAGGTATTCAACCGTCATAGACTTGATGTCTTTCACGGTGCAAATAGTTTCTGTGAGAGTCTTGAAGGAGTCCGGCAGATTGAGAATGATGGAGATTACCACCACCCAAGATGGTAGCTCGAAGCCGGCAGATTTGAGTTGGTGCGTGAGATTTCCAACTCGATCGAAGTAGGAGCGAAGACTCATTGTTGGGTCCATCCGTGTAGTGATGAGATCTCGAAGGAGAGCCACTTGTGCATGGTTACCCATGCAGTCAAACCGCGCCATGATGCATCCCCACATATCCTTCGTCGTGTTGGCTTGAACAAGTGTTAGCGAGAGCTGAGGATGGACGGCTGACATGAGAAGATAGTACGCATGCTCCTCTTTTTCTTCATCCGGCAGCGAAGCAATCGAATGGGCTGTTTTAGGGGCTGCACCATTGTTGCCTTCAGTAGCATCTCCACTGCTGGTTGTGGAAGAGGAAATGGAAGGGCGGGCAGCAACCTTGGGATCTCCAAGAAGGGAGATCAGCCCAAGGACATTGAAGATGTAACAGATCTTTTTCTTCCATGGAATGAAGTTGCATCCCTGATGGATGCAACAGATACCAGGGACAACGTCCATTGTACATCCCTGATCTCAAACACGCACCCCAGATTCCCCAACTACTGCATGGCAACTAAGCCAGCCGCCCAACCTCGGGTCTATAACTTCCGTGCTCCCTTTTCTGGATCTATCCACCCATCTGTAGGACTGTATGTATCTCACTGTTATGTGCAGATCAACTGGAAATGTGCTGAAACATTATAATTAGAAACAAAGGACCCTGCCCCTTTCTCTCTCCCTTATTCTCCTTGGTTATTTGTCGTTTGTGACGCAGGCGATTGTCTCAGAACAGGTTGAGGGGAGTCATTCCAAGCACCATTGGCAATATTATCACCAACTTGAACTACTTGTGCGTCTGAATCACCAACATGCAACACCTGTTCGTTTGAATCACCAACATGCAATACCTGTGCGTCTCAATCACCAACATGCAAGACCTGTGCGTTTGAATCACCAACATGCAATACCTGTGCATCTGAATCACCAACATGCAGCACCTGTGCGTTTGAATCACCAACATGCAATACCTGTGCGTCTGAATCACCAACATGCAATACCTGTGCGCCTGAATTAGGGATGAGCAAAGAACCGAACAGGTTTTCTTTTTCAGCTTAAATTGTTCGCCCGAACATGTTCGAGGTTCGCCCGAACACGCCTTCACATGCGAGCGCCAAACATGTTCGCATTCGCCCTTTGCTCAAGCCTATCCTGAATCACCAACATGCAACCCTGTGCGTCTGAATCACCAACATGCAATACCTGTGCGTCTAAATCACCAACATGCAATACCTGTACGTCTGAATCACCAACATGCAACACCTGTGCGTCTAAATCACCAACGTGCAATACCTGTGCATCTGAATTACCAACATGCAACCTCTACGTCTGAATCACCAACATGCAAGACCTGTGCGTTTGAATCACCAACATGCAATACCTGTGCGTCTGAATCACCAACATGCAATCACTGTGCGTCTGAATCATCAACATGCAATACCTCTGGTGCGTTTTGTTAGAACTTGAGCTTAGAATCCATGCATTAGTAATGAGTTCAAGGCTCTTTAAGTACATCGGAAATGGGCAAGGTAAGGATGGGGAGAGAATCGGGGGCAATCCTAAGGTCGAACCGAACACGTTTGACTCGAACAGATTTCTTAAATGTTAGTGTTCCCCGTTCGAATATAGGGTCGAACAGTTTTGAGGCAAGGCCGAACGCTAAGGTGTTTGACCCGAACTCGAACAGTTTGCCTTGGGGGGTTCTTTCAGAAGAGTCACATTCAGGCAGGGCGAGTGTACTAGAAGCAATATCACGTTCCCTGTAGCCGTACAAGAGATCTAGTTAGGCTTGGCGCAGATCTGGTGGATATCCAATTCACCTTGCTAAACTCCAACCTAAACCGAAATGCCCCAATCCAACCTTATTCCCAACATTTCCAGCCACAATGTGGAATTTTAACTGTGGGAATGTGGTTGTTTAAAGCTCGAGTATACATTTGTCATCAAGGTTTTGGGTTTAGGGAGTGTGCCTCACGGTTTTCTCACAAAGCTTCAAGTTCCTAAGGATTTTGACCCCCTCCTTTCAAATGTATATCAGAGCTTTAAGTGGGTAGGGGGCTGAATGTCATCCTTAGGCTATATCGACGATTGAGCTCATTCTTGAGCTCAATCGTCGCCCTCCTTTTTTAGGTTTTGACGCACTGATTTTTCCCTCGAACACCTAGGTGTTCGTGACGAACACATTGAGTTCGCGAACACCTAGGTGTTTGAGCTTTTTCCTGCACACGAACACTCGAACAATTTTAATATGTTCGTGACGAACACCTTGGTGTTCGTCACGAACTATTTTGAGCAAAAAAAACAGTCGAACATGTTCGAGTCGAACACTTTCGAGTCGAACCGAACAGGGGTTCGAAATTTTGCTTGCTCAGGGCCGCCTGGACAGAGGTCATCTGGGCCGAGTCCTTGGCAACGAGGATGAAGTCATCGACGTAGACAAGGATGTAGAATGGCTCAGAGTGACGGCGAATGAAGAGAGTTGGGTCAGCAGATGATGGGTGAAATCCCAATGAGAGAAGAACCTCTTTCACTTTGTTGTGCCATTCACGAGGGGCTTTGTTTGAGGCCATAAACAGGGCGATTCAGCTTCCAGATAGTGTTGGGAGGGAACTCTCCCGGAAAGCCTTTAGGACAGACCATAAATACAGTCTTCTTGAGGTGTCCTTGCAGGAATGCCGAGGAGGCGCCCATGGATTTGATCTCAAAGTCTTCTCGTGCGGCTACGTTCAAGAGCGTGCGAACTGTGGGTTGTTTGGATGTGGGAGAGAAGGTTTTGAAGAAGTCAAAGTACTGCTGCTGAGTGAATCCCTTGGCCACATAGCGCGCTTTGAACACCGAGGCCTCGTCCGGAAGCTGCTTCACTCGAAACAACCACTTGCCCCCAACGATGTTGACTCCTGGAGGTGGAGTATCGTCGTCGAAGGAGTGGTTGCGAGTGAAGGCTTCACACTCAGCTTCCATGGCAGCGCGCCACTCGACAGCATGGGGACCCGAAAATGCCTCTTGGACGGTGAGAGGGATAGGGATGGTCGGGTTCTCCGAGAAGTTGAGCGAGGGTGATTCAGTGATATCGGGGAAGATGTGCGAGAACTGAGGAATGACAGAGTGGAGATCACACGGCTCCTCATGCCTGTCTTCCAGAAGGGTAGAGGGCACATCCCCCCCAGCAGGAGGAGTCGATGTGATCACTGAGCATCGAATGGCAAGTGCCAGTGGAGGAGCAGCCCCATGCGACCGAGTGCCATGAGCCACTGGAGAAGAGGGTGGAGCAGGCGTGGCTGGAGGGGACGGTTTAGGAGGCTTGGGGGGAGGGATCGACCGTCGTTGGTACGTGATCAGTTTGCTCGGTTGTGGGAGAGCAGGTTCTTGAGTGGAGGAGGGAACGGGGGGAGGAGGTGAGGCTGGAGGGTTTGACCGCCGATGGTATGTGATTGGTGCGCTTGGTTGTGAGGGCGCAGTTGGCAGAGTGGTAGAGGGGGGGGGATGGAGGAGCAGCTGCCGAGGACACCGGAGAGGTCGGGTCAGGTCCTCAGACGAAGATGGTGCGATGGCAGGAGAGGTAGGAGGTGAGGGAGCTGGTGCAAGCGGTAGTTCAGGAGGCGCTTGAAAGTCAGTCCACACAAGGGAGGATGATACGGATGGGGGTTTCCCCCCCCGGGGTGGAGTAGAAGGGGCGAGTCTCATCAAAGAAGACATCGCGGCTCCGGACTAGTTGTTGAGTGGAGGGGTTGAGAAAAAGGTAGTCGGGGGAGTCAGCGTTATGCCCAAGGTAGATCCACGTTTGAATTTTGGGACCAAGCTTGCCACCTTGCCGCCGCCGAGCCTGGGGGTTGAGGAGGACATAGGCGGTGCACCCCCAGATGCGAAGGGGGCAAGCAGTGGGTGTTTTTCCGAGCCAGAGCGCGGTGGGAGTGGTGTCGGGGAGATGCGGGTGGGGATAAAGATTCTAGAGGAGGGCGGCATGGTAGAGGGCGTAACCTGAGAGAGAGAGTGGTGCATGGGAGTGGCCGAGGAGACAGCGAGTGATTTGCACCAAAGTGTGATTACGGCTCTCCGCTATGCCGTTCTGCTGCGGGCTGTCAGGAAGGGTGAAGCTTTGCAGAATGCTGAGAGAGGAGCAGAAGGCTTCAAGTTTGGTGTTGCAAAATTCACCACCACCATCCGAATGGAGGCGCTTGACCTAGGTGCCAAAGGTGGTATGTGCTTGGTTAACACATGCAATGATGGCCTCTGGAGCTTCAGCCTTAGTGGCGAGGTGGTGCACAGAGACGTAGTGAGTGTGGTTATCAACTATCAGTAGGAAATAGCGATGGCCACCTCGTGCGGCAACCGGGGCAGGGCCCCAGACGTCCATGTGCACTTGATCCAATGGGGCT